AGAGAGAGAGAGAGAGAGAGAGAGAGAGAGAGAGAGAGAGAGAGAGAGAGAGAGAGAGAACAGTGAGAATTGTAGTCCAAATCACCCCAATTGATTTGTACGGAAGTCCACCAAACTCAGTACTTAATGATCGTAACTTTTCCATTCACGAAAGAAGATAACACAGGGTAGAGGTGATTTCACCAACGCATCCCTTTTTTTGATCAACCCCTTGTTTATTTTAGCAGAAATTTTCTTCCCTGAGCATGGAAGGGAGGAAGCCCATTAGGACAGCAGCCGGATACGTCATCTCATCCTTTTTAGATAACTGAAAATAACTTGTATTTTAATTGTTTACCCAAAGGCCATGTGACTCCGATAGCAGAAATCCAAGCTCCCTAAAGTACTTGAGCATTCCAATAGCTCTGTTTATGGCATAAACACCTTTCATTCCATTATCAATTTTGTCCAATAAGGTGGGTTTCTTTGTTTTGAGGTAGCATGAAAACTTAGAAAGCTGGTTAAAGAACACGAAAAGTAACTTGAAAATTGTTTCAGTTTTCCAATCCATGAAATAATTAACCATCTTTCTTCAACGTCTCGTCAAGTTGCCCGCTGAAGTTTCTCTTTAAGGTGCTTCAGTTGTGCCAGGTTTTTTATTTATTTATATATTAATATTCTAAAAAGAGACCAGCATTAAGTAAAGAAGAGGCACTATGACAGGCATTATAGTAATTTTGTTCTACAAGAGAACAAAATTATCTACGTTACAAAAATAAAACGGCACAATTTGTTTTTAGCTTTATCTGCTTATATTTTAGCCTTAAATACTAAGCACTATTAAAGAATTCCACTTAGCAATTAAAGATAATGAGCTAACCTAGGTTAGCTATTTCACGTGTTCTACTGTACCATATGTTTAAAGAAAAACTGATCCTTTACCATGAAATGTTTTATCGCAAATGAATTCCTTCTAATATTTTCGGCAGTGGATAAAAGTCATTCTTCACATGAAGCCATTTGTGCTCTCGGTGAAACATTTTTTATACTGCTGGCTGACAATGATTCAGGAAAGTAACATTATCAGTCAAGGGAGGTGTTTAGACCTTCTGGTACAATCCTTTTGTGTTCTGATCCCCTCCTCCATCCGGTAACGAAAGCCGAGACAAGCTTAACTAGAATGTACTTTAATAGCAAGAAACCAAAACCTC